AGAAAAGGAAGTCGTCGTCCTCGCCGCCGCCGCCAGCCGCCGCCGACGCAGGCCAGCCCGAGGAGAGGGAGAGAAGAGAAGTGGGGGAGGAGCGTGGACGGGGGGGGGGTTGAACCCCCCCCCTCCGTCACGCCCCCCCCCCGCTCCAAGCGACCACGGAACGCGCTCGTTCCCTGGTTGCGGTCGAAGCTCGGGCATGGCGCTAGCTTTCGTCCTATCAGGGTCTGAAGCCAGCCGCGCTTCCTGACTGCGACCCCCATCCGAAGCCTGCCGCGCCTCGCGCGGGTGATCATGACCGCGTCGCGGTAGCTGGACGCAGACGCCGATGGGCAGCCCTGCGCTCGCCGTAGACGCGGCCGTGGCCGAGCAGGTCCCGCTGGTCGTCGGAGCGGCGCGCGTCATCCCCGATGATGGCGCCACCTTCGGGCGGCGTCGATTACGTGGCGAGTGTGAGCCCAAGGTGTTCCCTCCCATGGGGGCTTCCCCCAGGACTTCGTCCAGCTCCACGTGGCGTCTTCGAACCCGAGGCGTTTCCTCTCGCGAGGCCCCCCCCCAGACTTGGGCACGTGGGCCGTCGAACAGGTCGCCGTCGACGCCGCCGTCGAGCCTCCATCTGCGATGCGCCGTCGGGGCGACGCCGTCTCGATGCAAGGGCAGCTCCGAAGCACGCGCGCTGCGACGGTTGTCCCCGCGACCCCCCACTACGCCGCGCTCGTTCCCGCCCCCGTCGAGCCAATCCGTCATCAGCTCCGAAACGCGTGCGCTGTGATGGCAGTCTCCTCGACATTCCACTGCGCCGCGCGCCGAGGCCTGCCGCGCCTCCTGATGATGAGCGCCTTATGATGCCTGCGGTGCGCCCAGAGGGTGGCGGCGATGTCCGACGTCCGAGGCCTGCCGCGCCTCCGCGTCTTCTTCGCTGTCCGAGGCCCGCCGCGCCCCCCGGTGAAATTCATCGTGTCCGTGACGAAGTCGCTTGGCCATGCTAGCGCGCGCTCGAAGACTGCGTCGGCGCCTGCTGCGCATCTTGCATGCCTTCATGAACTGGGCACGGCTGCACCTTGATGTTGCCCAGCTGGTCGCCGTCGCAACCGAACCTGAACTCGTCGTGCCAGAGTTGCTGCCACTGCTGAGGGCTTCGCTGCGAGGAAAAGATCAGGGCCGAGATTACGTCCTTCGAGATGACCTCTCCGCCAGCCGCTTCGTCGCCCAGGGCGTCTGAGGCTGCGGAGGTCCCCGCCCGAGTCGAATATCCCCTGCTCGCGGGTCGCGCTCGTCTGGGTCGCGGGTAGGCTGACAGCTGGGCAGGTCGATGTGCTGGCGCCGCGCGAGCTGGCGAGCTCTGAGCGGTATGTCGCAGATGCCGGCGGCGAAGCCGATGGCTGCGATGCGGCGTCGAGCGCGCCTGTCACGCGCGGCTCTTTCCATCGCAGGCGGCCCCATGTCCATGCGGGAGAGGTAGTTGGCCACGCGCGGCGCGCAGTAGCACTTCCCCCAGCGCGCGCGGGTGCGCGGGCCAATGGCTGGTGAGACCTCGTAGCGCACATTCGAACTCGCGCCTGCGATCGAGCGCGCGCTGCCGGTTAGTCCGCGGTCGTGAGGGCGCGGTCGCATGCCGAGTCGTCGTCGTCGTCCTGCCATCTGCTCGCTACGCCGTGGGTCCTGTCGTTCACTTCGTGCTGAGCCTTGCCCCCCGATGGCCCGCCGCTGGCGATGGCGCTTCCGCGCCGCTTGCGCCGCGCTCTGGAGGGGGTGTCCTCGATCAAGTTCCCGGGGACATCGCCGGCCCCGCCTCCCACGGCTTTTGAGCGGGCCGCTCCCGGCGCAGACGTTGGCCGGTCGTGCGAGTCGTGCGACCAGGAACCGCGGCGGGGGAGCGCGATCGGGCTGGTGCAGCCTGGGCTCAGGGATGCGCACGGGGCAGGAGGGTCGCCAGCTCCTGTTCTTTTGCAGATGTTGTCAAACTGACTCTGTGACAGGTCGCCGTCCACGCACTATCCCACGCCGTAGTCGGCGATGCCCAGGCCTGCCCCCCAGGCGGGAGGGGAAACCGAAGCCGATAATGTAGTCCAGGGTGCGTCAGCACAGCGCCCCACGTGATTGTAGGTGGCCCGCGCGACTCACGATCGAAGCGATGCGGGGCGCAACGCCGAGCGGCCGCCACCTCCTTCGACTGGCCCGTTGGGGCAGCTGTCCCGTCCGCGCGTCGCTGCGGCGCCCGGCGGAGTATCCCGCCATCGCTGACGCGCGCGTCTGGGTACATGCGTGGACGCAAAGCCCCCGCTGCGCTGCGTCCGCCGGGCCGCGAGACCCAGCGCTGCCGCGGCCGCCGCCCTTCGCCGGCCTCGCGCGCGCAACCGCCAATACATCGCCGGCTGCCTCGTCGCCTGGCGCAGCGGCTGCGCCGCCGCCGGGCCCGCCGGGGGGGCCCCGCGGACGCCGGCGTCCGCCGCGCCGGTCTCCAGCGACGCTAGCGCTGGAGTAGGCGGAGCAGCTGAAGCAGTTGCGCGCCCTCGTCTCCCCGTCGCCGGCGTCCGTGGCATTCCCCCATGTGTCGACGAGGCGGCACTGAAGCGCCTCTTGCTGCTTCTCGAGCTCCCGCGCTTCAGAGGCGAACTTCCCGAGCGCCGCCTGCGCAATCTCCTTGAACATGGACTGGAGCTCGGCCTTCCTCTTGGCGGCCTCCTCGCGGTCGGGCCCCTGGATCTCGCGGTCGCCCAGCGCTTCCAAACCGAGGCCGTCGTCGTCGAGTTCGAGGTCGCGTCCGTCGAGCTGGCGCGCGACGGAGAGGCGCCCCATCTTGCCGCCGTCCTTCTCCTCCTCCTGGGGCGGCCCGACCACCTGGTTCGCCAGCGACTGGACGGCCTTCGCGCGCGCCTCCATGGCCACGTCTTGGCCCGTAGCTCGTCGGCGATGGCCGCGGCGCGGTCCATGGCATCAGCCGCCTCGTCGCGCGCCACCATTGCAGCATTGACAGACATGGCTGTGGGCTGCCTGGCTCTGCGCAATGCGCCGAGCTGCTCTGGTGCGTGCGCGCGCCGCTGTCGTCGTTGCTGAGCTGCAGCAGGCTGCTGAGCTGCACCAGCTTGGCCTCCTCGGGATCGGCGTCGCGACTCTGGGCAGCTCCTCCGCGTCGCTGAAAGCGAAGCGCACTCGCGAGCCCTCGCGCTGGCGGCTGTTGCTGCCGCAACCGTTTCTGCCAGTGCTTGAGCTGCCGACCTGCCACGGCGCCTTGGCCAGCGCCAACTTGTCGCGGCGGTTAGCCGAACGATGCCGACGAGGGGGGGCCTGTGTAGGCACGAGCTCCTGCTTGCAGTGCTTGATCTAGCGCCACCACGCCTCGTTCTTGCCGCTGCCGCGGTGCCGACACTTGGGGCCAAGCAGGTCGCTCTCACCACGAATCCGACTGCCCGCTGCTCCGCGTGCTCCACGCATGGGAAATCGCGGCACCGCTCTGCCGTGATGAGCTTGCAGCAGCAGGCGGCTCCGAGCCAGCCGAAGACGCGCACGAGTACCCGCACGCTGTCGTCGAAACCGACGGTGCCACGGCGGTGATCTGACCCTCGCAAAGGCCGTCGCGCCGACCGCTGCGCTGGGGGCCATGGCGCGGCAGGCGCGCGCCGCAGGGCAACGGCTGCGGGGACGCGCTGCCGAGCCACCTAAGGGCAGGACCAGGAGGAGGAGTGAGGAGTGAGGGGTGAGGAGGAGGAGGAGGAGGAGGAGGAGGAGGAGGAGGAGGAGGAGGAGGAGGAGGAGGAGGAGGAGGAGGACGAGGAGGTCGAGGAGGAAGAAAAAAAGGAGGAGGAACGCCGTAGCTCGCGGAGGGGGGGGGAAAGGAGGAGGAGGAGGAGGAGGCGGAGCAGGAGGAGGAGGAGGGGGGGGAGGAGGAGGCGCAAGCTGGCGGAAGCGAAACAGCGGCGGGCCCGCCGGCGAGAAGCAGCGGGAGGAAAAAACGGTTTGCTTAGGGATTCGTTCGTGTCTCCCACAAGAATGGGTCCTGCGAAGCTTCGCCACGTTGCCGCCTCGTTGCCGCCTCGTGCGCTGGTTTGGTCAGGCAAGCAGTGTCCACTTTGCTGCCCGTTTCCTCCCCGTTGCCGCCTCGTGCGCTGGGTGGGTCTGGCGAAGCTTCGCCACGTTGTCGCCCCGTTGCCGCCTCGTTGCCGCCTCGCGTCTGGCGAGGCTTCGCCGCGCTGCCGCCCCTTGCCGCCTCGATGCCGCCTCGTGCGCCGGGTGGGCCCAGCGAGGGTTCGCCACGTTGCCGCCTCGCTGCCGCCTCGCTGCCTCGTCGCTGCCGCTTCGTGCGGTGGGTGGGTTCGGCGAGGGTTCGCCACGTTGCCGCCCGTTGCCGCCCCGATGCCGCCTCGTGCGCCGTATGGATCTGGCGAGGCGTCGCTGCGCTGCCGCCCGGTGCCGCCTCGTGCGGTGGGTGGTTCCGACGAGGCTTCGCCACGTTGCCCCCGTTGCCGCCTCGTTGCTGCCTCGTGTCCCGGGTGCCTGCGAGACTTCGTCGCGTCGCCGCCCGTTGCCTCGTCGTTGCCGCCTCGTGCGCTGTGTGGGTCCGCCGAGGTTTCGCCAATTTGCTGCCCGTTGCCGCTTCGTTGCCGCCTCGCTTGCACCACTTTTACTGCCCCGCGTAGCCTACACCACATAGCTCATAGCTTGCACCACGCAGCCGACGCATCCAGAATGCAATAACTTACTGTGTGGGGTCTAAGCTGGTTAACATCTTTAGATTTGGGGTTTACGGAATCGGCCAGATGACCCCAAGATGCCCGCAAAACAACCCAAGCAGGCCCCTACTGGCCCCAGGACAGCCCCAGAGGGGCTTAGAGGCCCGAGCGGACAACGGCTTCCTCCCCTTGCCCCGCTGTTCCCTCAGTGGTTTTCCCAACGGCTGGGGGAGCACGCAGTCCACCACCGTGGCCGCACTTTCGCTCGATATTTCACGATATGGGCGTTTTCGAAGGCAAGGGGCGACGGTGACTCGCCGTAGGCGTCTTCGCTAATTCGCGGAGAAACTCTAGCATGTGCAGTGTGGAATGCTTGTCGGCCTCCGGATGGAAATATCGCCCAGGCTGTATAGCGAATCCGTGACCAACACCTTTGTGGTGGTGAATTCTCAAGTCAACACCTGCCCCGTCCATCTCTGTCTGCAAAGCAGCAAGGCTCTGAAATGACACTAGATGGTCATCTTCGCCGTGCTCGAGTAAGATCTTCGCACCGCGAGTGTGTGAAGAAAGTGGTATGTGGTTCATAGCGATTGGGCGCCCAGGTGGTGAGAAGACACGTGGTTCCAGAACTCCATGGAAACTCACTGCTCCCCTAATTGGCAATCCAGCGCGCACCATCTCAATGCAGCACAATCCACCAAAACAGTACCCAATGGCAGCACAAGCATCTGGGTCCACTGAGGGCTGATGACGACCTATTTGAAGCCATTCTGCAAGCACTGCTCGCAACTTGGCAATGTTTGCAGTCCAATAGTTCATTGTATCAAACGCTTGCCTCATGACATCAGGGCCACTCTGCGCAGTCAAGAAGTGCCGATGCTCCTCCGGAAAATACGGCCCGTAAAGATCTACAGCTAGGCCTACATACCCCAACTTTGCCAAGAACTCTGCTTGCCCCTCGTCAAAAGAATTCATACCCTCCACATTTGGTAAGACGAGTACTAGTGGCCGACAGACGCCAGGCTGGTAGCATATTACACCTTCGTATTCAACACTCTCCCACTGTACCGTCAACCTTGCGCGGTGCAGAGGGGCCGCTGAATCACAGCCCGTCTCGGGACAGCTGGTGACCTCCTTACCCAGAAAAGCCATGCGTTCTCGATGCTAGGCATTCGTTTGCAACTCTGGCGGCACAACCTCGGACACGTATGAAACGCAACGTTTGGGCCTCGAGCCAAAGTGGCTACATCCTGTTGCCGTTGCTCCTGTTGCCAGTGAAGCAGATGGTAACTGCTGGGTCATATGCATCGGCGCTCCACCTCCACCTCCACCTCTGCCCGCATTCTGGGGGGCACCCCGGGGGGCGGGCGAGGATATCGACCGAGCTCTCCGCCGCGCCCCGAGGAGGCCCGACGAGGACAGTATCGTATTCCCCAGGCATCAACGGTGCCGATCGCAAGCCACACCCCAGCGTAACCATACCCGTTGCAGTCGCCGAAGTGTCGGTGCGCAGGACCGCCGGCATTGCCACCGGGCTGTGCCCAGGACGCCAGTGCATCAGCGAGTGCGCACGCAGGACCGCCGGCACTGCTGCCAGGCTGTGCCCTGAAGGTGGATGCCTCGAGCGGGCGGCACATCAGGAGGGACGGGAGGCGAGCTTCGCGGCTGCCCGTGGCGCCACCTCCCCCGCAAGTGACGCACGGGGAGCTGCTCCTCCGCAGGACGGATCGCCACCGTGGGGGGTGCTGGCGGGAGGCTTACTCCACAGCAGGCCTCGTCACCACCACGTGACATGCTCCACGGCAGCCCGATTGCCGTGCAGCTTGCAAGTGACAGGGGGGGCCTGCCCCCCAGGAAGCCCTTCGACGAAGGGGGAGGAGCGCGCGCAGCTGAGGACGCTGGGTGAAACCTCAGCTTCTCGGGCCGATGGCCAGCTTCGTGGCGCGAGGAAGGCGCAGATGGGCTTCGAGATCAGGGGGGGAGCGGAGTGACAGTTCCCCGGAGAGCGACGCGTGTCTCCGAAGTGCCCGCGCACGACCGAGACGAGGATTGGAGGAAGTTTCGAGAGCAGAGGGAGACGATTGGCGCCACAGGAGGGCGATCGGAGGACGAGCGAAGGAAGAGGAGGAGGAGGAGGAGGAGGAGGAGGAGGAGGAGGAAGAGGATGAGGAAGAAGAGGAGGAGGAA